CTCCCAAGCGGCGCACTGCAGCAGTGCGCCACGGGGCCGGCCATAGAACCATTGTAACTTTAATGCAAGGAGGTGATAAGATTCAGTATGGATACAAAATGAATAACCAGGCTGGTTCAATTTTCAAGATAGGAATATGTGAATTTTTTCTTTTAGGCTGTAAGCAAAAAAGAAATAAGAAATAGATTCTGTTTTCTTTTAGAATTCTTTGCTTTTGAACTAATAATAGATAGCCTGTATTGTGGTAGATAAACATTTTTTTCAGCAATACTTACTGAGTGTTTATATCATTGGTTAAATATTGGGGGGTCATAGATAAAGAAGATGCGGTCTCTATCATTGAGAAGCTCATACCTAGGAAGTGTTCAAGAAGTTTCTGTTAAATTGCGTTGAAACAATTCCTAATAGAATTGATTGTGTGATTTGTTTTGTATTAGTCTGTTGGTGTTGCTATAACAGAAGTACCTGAGACTGAGTAATTTATAAAGAACAGAGGTTTATTTGGCTCATGATTCTGGGACAGCTGCATCTGGCACGGGCCTCAGGCTGCTTCTACTCGTGGTGGAAAATGGCAGCAGCTGGCAGGTACAAGCAGATCACATGCTGAGAGGAAGCAAGAGAGAGAGAGGGACGTACCAGGGTCTTTTAAACAACCAGCTCTCACAGGAACTAACAGTGCAATGACTTACTCACTACCCCTCCTCCCCCAGAGAGAGCATGGTGGATCCACCCCCATGATTCGAACAGCTTTCAGCACTGCCACATTGGCGATCAGATTTCCCCAGGAGTTTTGGTGGGGACAACACATCCAAACTCTATCAGGTTTCAAACAGAGCATTTCCCTCTGTTTTTATTTAATGTAAATACAAGCAAGTTTTCCTATGGGATAAATTCCCTGTAAAAGTATATAAAAGAAGCAGTTATTAGTATGCTGGAATGTTGGATGGTGTAGTCTTGGGAATCCATTTGAATCAGCACTTCTCTTATTGTGCTTTCTTTAGCCAAGGCTTCTTTCCTCTTGACGGAGATCCCTTGGCTCCTAGGATTTAGCTCTTATTTTTTCCTTTTAATCTGGGTGTCATCTCATTTAGTGATCTCAGTAAATTAATCTTAAGTAGATCTATGTGCTAGGCATTGTAGATATAAGGAAACTAAATTTCAAAGAAGTTAACCTCTTAAGTGGTAGTGTCAGGAGTCAAACCTAGGTTTATCTGATCTTAAAGCCTACACTTTTAACCACTGAGACATATGAGGGCGCTTCAGAAAGTTTGTGGAAAAACAGAATTAAAAGATAATACAAATCTTTCCACAAACTTTTTGAAGTCCCCTTGTATGTAATACACTTACATATACGACTTGGTGCAGTTTCATATTTAAAAAAAATGAGGCAATATATGTAAAGTGTCTGGCATAGAGCCTTATGCATAGTGAGTGTTAAAAAATAATAGTTCCTTTCCCCTCTTTTTATTTTTGCTAGATTAATGCACATGGCTTAAGCCAGGTTTGGAAGAATGGTACTTTTGAGGGAGTGCTACCTCATGCTTTGTAGGGAACTAGTAATCTAAAGTTCCTGCTAGTGTAGGCATACCTACCTGGGCCTGTTTCTGTCACCAAAGTTCTATAGAGAGCTTGAGTCAGTCTGCAAAGCAATTAGGTTTAAGACCATATGCTTAGAAGTGTTTCATGTTTTGTGGATAGCCTGTTAAACCCCCAATTCTGTCTGCAATGAGGAAATACTAGCAAGTAATATTGACATTGTAGTAGTAACTAACCGTACTAGGAGAACAAAATTGCCTTAACAATTATTTTTTATGCTGGTAGATATCTTTTGGGGTTTTGAAGGGTGTGTTCCTTAGAATGAAAACTTTGAAGACGGGGCCAGTCTGGCATGAAGCTGTATGCTGAGTACCCGCAATACGAGTGTATTTCAAAAAGATGGTGGAAAATAGAATTAAAAGATAGTACAAATCTTTCCGTGAACTTTTTGAAGACCCCTCGTAGTGCTTGGCACACAGTAGTGCCGAAGAGATATTTATTGACAGATCAACCAAGTTTCCAGATTCTTTCAGTGGTATTATAAGTTAAGTTGATGACACTTATTCTTTATTGTATCTCATTCTATGTAAAAATTTATTTCACTTGACAATTACTATTCTTAAAATTATTGGCAACAAGTAAGATTGTCTTTGCTCACTAAAGAATGAAATGAGAGGAGAGATTTTCCTGAGATAACTTGGCTAAGTTGGCAGACAGAAGGTGAATTTCCCCAAGGAGTTAGGTGTCTAAAGTTGGTTTTTAGTGTGAGCCATGAAAGTTTGAGAGGTAGATGGGGGATTGTCCTGAGAACAGTCCTCCTTTAGATAAGTAAAGGGTATCTTAAGGAAGAGGTGTTTTGTCAGTTTCTGGACTAGCTGCCTGATCCGAGGCAGCTTGGATGTCAGTTTCCTGGACTAGCTGCCTGATCCGAGGCAGCTTGCGTGTAGATCTTGTTAAATACAGCTTCTGATTTCGAGAGCTTGCTGGGGCATGGTATTCTGCATTCAAATAAGCTTCCAGATGATAATGATGCTGCTGGTTCCAGTACCATACTGAGGAGCAAGGGTCAGGATCCTCGGGTGATTTGTATGTACATTAAAAAAGTCTGAGAAGCACTAATCTGGAGTAGTGGTCTTCAACCTTTTTCACTTACATATTCCCTATTTTGCTTTTCTGAAAAATTGTGTAGTTCCTTGTACAGTTTGCTGGTGCCATCTAAAAATTTTATTGCAAGTTTAGTAGTTGCAAGAGATATAATTTCCAGCATTTTTAAGTGAAATTATATTACTTTTCTTTTGGATTTTTTTTGATGACTGGCTGGTACGGGGATCGAAATCTTGGACCTTGGTGTTATCAGCATCACACACTAACCAGCTGAGCTAAAAGGCCAACCTTATATTACTTTTAAAAATATATCTGGTAGAATCTAAACATAGGGATGTAATACCTTGCATTATTTATTTTAAGAAATTTATGAAAAAGCTTTTAATAGATGGAAATTTTATATTCCTTTTTCTATTGCACTTCTTACAATAAAAGTGTGCGTCTACATTGGTATGTGTTTTTTTGTTATTGTTATTATTCTATAAGTTTTTAAGTCTTATATTCTTTGGGGTTGAGTTGGACACAGGTGATCAAAATAACATGTATTAAAAGTTTCGTTAAATCTTAAGTATTAAGGTGGCTGGCTAGTTAGCTCAGTTGGTTAGAGGATGGTGTTGATAACATGAAGAGGTCAAGGGTTCTTATCCCCATACTGGCCAGCTGCCAAAAACCCAAAACAGTACATTCTTATCTGTTTCTTTATCGTAGTAAACTAATCACTTTTTCCAAATTACTTTACTTACCTGTGGATGACTGTTATATACTTCTAGAATGAGAAGAGATTTAGCATCAATTTTAGTATATTTTGTTTTAACTTTTGTACATTCTGAGGAACCTTAGTCACATGAGTAAGTAGATGGCAGTGAATGGTGTTTAATTATAGCAGTGTATCAGGTCTTTGAACTACTTCTGAATTATTCATGAAAAGATTACATAGTGACCTATTATAAAAAATTAAGTCATTCTGCAATTTTGATAAGCAAAGAATTGCAAAAAGAGATGTTAGTCATTGACTTTTTCAACACCTGTATGTACACCTTCAGGTAATGTGTAGTGATTTTGATTGAGAAGCCTTGACTACAGACAGCTCTCTAGGAGATTAATTTTAGGAAAGAGTGTGTAAGGAAGTGAAAGATCTGCAAGTTAATAGTTTTGAAAGTATCTTTGCATAGTATACCCATTGATCTTTGTGTACTTGTAGGAGTAAGGATACCTAACTGGAAGCCTGTTGCCCTAGAGGGGTCTGGTAGCTGGGTGTGAAGGGAAAAGGAGGTAGCAGTGCAACCAGTCACGTATGTAATGGGGCTGTAACAAGCCCGAATGTTCTTAACATGAGGATTGCCAACACTTTAGAAATATAAGTGCTAGTATCTATAACTTTTAATTTCATTTGCATTTAGTATCATTGAGTTACTAGGAACTTGGTCCTTAAAAAATGAAAGCCCACTTGAGTTTTTCAGAATATAGGTGTGTAATGAAGACCATACTTGCCTAGGATGACCCTGGTGATTTTTACCCGTTATAAATACCTGGGATGTGCTTTTGGGATCCTCTTTGAGACATTCTCCCCAAATTGTTTAGTGCAAGGATGAAAGGGTGATTGAATCAGATCTGAAGGATCTGGTGACTCTTGTAGCCCAAGAACATCAAACTATACATTTTTTTTAATTTGCTAAAAGTAGTTGATAATAGTGTGGAAGAGTCTGTTTCAAGTGAAGTTGGCTTTGATACTGGGGATGGGCTGGGTCAAGTAATACCTACTGTTCTACTTGTTAAAGCTTCTGCTTATCAGAAGTCAGTTTTTCAAGTCGTTAAATCGGAGTCACTGTAGGTAAAGGCTCTTTTTCATCTTTATAGTGACTGGAGGAAAAAAGAAGAAGGATTTTGCTCAGACAACAAGTGCATGTTTAAATTTTATCCAAGAAGCTCTACTGAAGCACCAGTGGCAGAAAGCTGCAGAGTACATGCACAGTTATTTTCAGACCTTGGAAGATTCAGATAGCTACAAAAAGCAGGCTGCACCTGAGGTAAACAAAGTGTGAAACTGCTGGAAGAAATGACAGGTTCCTGAGAGTTTCTGCCTTCGGCTCCACCCACAATAGCATCTACAGGATCTCAAATTGATTATACTAAAAGCTACTAAAAGTTATTCTGGGTGGGAAGTTTGTATTGGGTCATTTTTTGTACACTTTATACTTACCATCATTTTAAAGGAGATAAAAATAGTTTGAATTCTCAGATTCCCCGGTATTCATCCATTCATTCCAATAATTCTTCCTTCTTTCCGTGTGTCATTATTTCCCCTCTCTATAGGAAGTTTGCTGTCATCATACAAAGACGTTTATTCTATCGTAAAATCATCTGTTGACCCCCACTTCCTCCACAGGCTGTGTCTCATTTTTCCACTGTCCCTTTCAGCAAAACTCCTTGAAAAAGTTATTCTCTTTCTCTAGTCACAGTGATCCTTTTTTATTTTTTTCAGTTTTATCGAGACATACTTAACACATCATACAATTCTCTCGTCTAAATTGTACAATTCAATGTTTTTTTAAAAATATCCATAATATTGTGCAACCGTTACCACAGTCTAAATTGAGAACATTTTGTCCTCCACAAAAAACACGTACTCTGTACCCTTTTCAGACTTTCCCTGTTCCTTCCTCCAGTCGCCAGCCCCTGGCAGCCACTCATCTACTTTCTATTCTGGACATTTCATATAAGTGGAATCATAAATTTTGTGGCTTTTTGTGAATGGCTTCTTTAGTTTGTGTAATGTTTTCAAGGTTTATTCATGTTGTAGCATGTATTAATACTTCATTCCTTTTTATTGGCAAATGATATGTCGTCATATGGATATCCCACATTGTATGGGTATACACATTCCATTCATCAGTTGTCACATTTGGGTTGTTTCCACTTTTTGGTTATTATGAGTAATGCTTCTGTGGACATTTGTTTTAATTTCTCTTGGGTATATGTCTAGGAGTGGAATTGCTGGGTCGTGTGGTAACTCTATTTTTAACATCTTGAGGAGCTGCCAGACTGTTTTCCAAAGTGACTACACCATTTTATA